TCCTCGCGGCCTATGACTGTACGGTACTGAAACCATGGTTAAACAAAGCCACCTCTGCAAATTGAACCTCCAGCTGGCTGATAACAAGGGACTGCAATTTCTTCCCCCAGTCCCAAGGCACACAGGCCTGGGATGCTGTGGGGAAAGGACAGACAGAGGTACAGACTGCTGGGGAAAGCAGAGAAGGGCTGGAGGCAGCTGTGGGTGGCCTCTTCTCCTCGACGAAAGACACATGTTCTCAACTTGAGCTAACCTAAAAGTAGGCACACAACTGCATGGCCAAGCAGAGGCAGACACATGTTCTGCTGTCCCACGCACTGAGCTAGCCGGCTGTGTGTGAGCTCCAGCCCAGAAGCCACACAGCTGGGCTGGGAGGAGGCACCTCGCTTTGCAGAGCAGACCTGTCTAACTGCACCCAGGCATGCAAGCATCATCGACGCCGACACGAAACCCTAGCAGAAAGGAGCGAATTTGCAGTTTTGCACAAGTCAGTGGGTTAAATTCAAGCCCTAGAGAAGAAAGGAGGTTTTTTAGAAACTACAAATAAGATCCTTACACCTGAAAAAAAGTGCAAAAAGCCACTGCTCGGTGAGACTTCCCAGCTAGCAGAAAATGCAGGATTTCAGGCAACAATATGCAGAATAAGTGGAATAGGCAACAAAATGCAGAATAGACAGAATATGCAGGATATCAGGTCATTGGCCATCCACAATGGTCACCCCAAGCTAGTACTGCATGGTACGTGTAGCTATCAACAGTTGAAAAAGTTCTTAAATTCCACTTCAGCAAAGTCCTAGCAGAACACAGGCAAACAAGAGACAAGATCAGAATACAGAGAGATGATGGACAAGTTTTTTTCCTGGCTTTGCAGCAATTCTGAGTGCGCTTAAAGAGTTACAGAGTCACTGCAGTAAATCATGAGCTCAGTGAGCATATGGGAATTTTAGGGAGGTTAGTTAGGGTTTGTTATTTATTTAGCTTGGGGAGTTTGTGTTTAGAGATCCCTCACTCACCCCTTAACAAAATGTCTCAGCTGGCAAAATATGGTCAAGTGCACACAGCTGCAAAACACAAAACAAAACAATACAACCCAGTAGCTGATTATTGTCTAGCACCAGGGAGCCTTGGCTCGGTGGTATATGACCCCTAAAAATAACCTGCTTTCCGCTGACCTTGCCTTTCCCAGTAGAAAGCTAGTATGTGAAGTCAATGCTTCTTCACTAGAGGGTGGGAAAAATTAAAAAAAAATTATTCTCATGGTTTTCTTGACATGAAAGCCTGCCTGCCAAATGTTCGTGTCATCTTGTCAAAAGACTAAATTACGGAGAGGACAATAGTTACCAAGACTGTGGCAATATTTTATTGGTGAAGCACCACACCCACCGCTCCAGTGGCAATGTGCTAGGGACACACAGTCTGGGCTCCAGCTTTTAGATGAAATACCTTCCAGCTCCATTTAAGATGCAGCATAGGGATATATGGGAATTACTTTATCCTTATTACATTTTCTTACTACCGTTGGTGCTACCTGATGTTTAGCAGTTATCTTTGGTTTTATTCTGATGCACTTTATAAAAAAGCTAGTATATATTAGCTGGCTCCTGGAATCACTTCAGACAACAGTAAAATAGATATTGAGGGTGAGAGATGACAGCTGTTTGACTACGTAAAACCAAGCTGCTCTGCAGTTTAAAAAGGCAGGAAGTGAAAAAAACAAAACAAAACAAAGCCCAACCCCATCAGATTCATCAGAATCAGCAGGGTAAGTTGTAGAATTGGAGAACAGACTACATACTGCTGACAAGAATTTCATCAGGTTGCTGTAATGGGAAAGATGTCAGCCCCCAAAGAGGTTAACTGTTCCTTTCCCCTATTTTAGCCTTTTGTGGTAAGAACTACTTCTTGCAACAGGTTAGGATCACAGAATTTCATCTCAGCTTTCGCAGTCAGGACGAGATCTTTTAAAGTGATTTTTGGTGCTCCATGCTGGGAACTCTGAAGCGTCACAAGCTTCAGAAAATGTTGACTGCTGATGCTCTGAATGAAGCGTTCTCCTGAGCACGCCTCAGAAGTTCAGCAATCAAAATCCTTTGACAGTTTGAAAACTCTGGTCCAGAATTTGAGTTTTCACCTGGACAATGTAAACTGCTTGGGATCTTAAGATATATATGTATTTTTTTAACAGCCTCCACAAAATACCTTTCACGGTCTATTTGCAAGAAATCAAAATAAAATTAAAAATAAAAAAGAGGCAGAGGGTCTTGTCATCATTTGAGTAATTAATAAACACTGTTTTCATATCTGCATTGCTCTCTATGGCAGGAGACATTGCCACTCAAAGAAAAAAGAAGTGTTAAAAAGAGGGAACAAAGTTCTGGATTCCCAGACTCCTGCTGCCCTGAAGCACTCAGATCCATTTCATAAGCTGGTCACAAGAGCTTTACTTTCCTAGATCTAAAAGCATCAGGTGAATAAGTCATTACATAAATAACAGCAGAAAATTAGAGCAAATAGAAGTGCTGGAAAAGCTTTTGGACTCTGTTTCCTTTAAGGATTACAGGGAGATTTTTCTTTGGGCAGTGTCCTAGGGTGTAACCAAAAGTAGTGCAGCTGCCAAATAAGAAATGTCTTTTTAAATTAACTTCCTTACAAATGTTCAGCTTATTACTGTTTACTGCTCGGTTATTAATTTCTTTTGCACATGAATTTCCAAGGCAGACACGGTTAAGGAAATATGCCTAAGGTCCAGTTCCCTTAATCCTTTTTAGGCTGGTGTGTGCCATCTTCCTCCTCCAGCAACAACACACCACATTTTATATTGATTATTTTAACAGAGAGGGATTTATAGAATGCAATCCATCCCTTTCAGCATTCACTGCTCAGTGCTGTATTAGGAAATAATTACTACTCATACAACAAAAAGACAGTAGGTTTGTCCTGTAACTTGTATAGTATAATTGTTGAGATCATCAATATTTAAAATGCCAGTCCTCAAGCTTCCAGCCTCTTTTATAATTCTCTGGGTTTGCAAAGAATTTGAGCAGGTAAAGGAAAGAGCTAGGGTCCCTGTAGGGGAAGTATAAACTGATGGATTTGTTTCCAGGTCTAAGTGTACTGCATAGGAGAGACAAATCCAAATAAACTAAATGGAGGGGGCAAGGAACTGCTGCTGAATTGCATTTAGAATTCAAGATCTCCATCTGGGGCAGTGGCACGTAGCCAACATCTTTTCAGGTTTTGTTTTTTTGAATTGAAAACAGCTGGGATATTATTGACATAGGAACTGCTTTACTGGTCTGACTCTGCCCATAACAAGTTTTGCAGTTTCCAAGAGGATTCCAGCTATTTTTATAGCAAAAACTGAAACTGAAATGAGGGTTGGCTCCTATTGAAACTGTCAAAGCACATTCCAGGAATCTCAGCAATTTACCAAGTAATCACATAGTAAGCACCTATAAAGTAGAATGGTTATTTACAATCTACAAAATGGTTTTATACAGTGTAAGCAGTTACAACACTTCTATCAAAGGTTTGATCAAAGAGAGAAAATGTTTCTTAAAATTGTCGAAGAAAACACATGCCGGCTTTTCAAGCCAGCTGTCCTATCCAGCCTTTTAGCTGCAAGTTTACCTCTCTATGAATAGGTTGAAAACAGAAATAAGAAAAGGGAAAGTAAAATCCAGCATTTGATACTATGGGAAAGTATTTAAACAGGTTATCTGGGAAACAGACCGTTAGGTGAAAACTCCATGCGCCATTTCTTCTGAGAAAGACGGTATTTTGCGAAAGCTGCAGATAATTGCTCAGGTAACTACAACGGACGGATCGCAGAGACTTTTATAAACAGGGATGAGTATATAATTCCCTGTCCTGAAGCTGGGAAAATGAGGTACAGGGAAGCTGTGTGTTAGACTCCCAGGTGGTCAAGCTGGTGATGGTATGGGGATGCGAGATTGGACCTGATACCCGTGTATCCTTCCGCCTCCCTACATAAGCAGGCTGCCCCTGCTAGGCTATCTATCTCATATTTCTCAGACCCACTTTCGGGTAGTGTCCCTTTTCATGAAAGCATTTAAGCACCTTTTTCAACTCAGCCATGTTCTTATTTCTCCTGAAGTGAACCAGGGCCATCTAGGTAATTTTATGCCTAATATTAAGCATTTCCATGTGTGATGCCTTGAAATAGGAACGACGTTTGGAATGTGCTCAATCAAGCACTTTCCTGAACTGGTCCCAGTGCTGGCCTTTCTCCTTCCAGAAAAAATATCTGGAGGATACATAAGAGAATTCAAAGGAGGTTTTGATCTGCGTTATGAACTACTGTCAGCGTATTGCTGAAGACAAAATACTGATTTGTCTCAGTTGCTAAAAGCAGCAATTGGACAGAAAAGAAGAAATTACAGAACTGTCATGGAATATTTGTTTCACTTATTTATGGGCAGAGAGGCTACAGGTTTTGATTGCAAAGAATTATAATCAGCATAAAACTACGAGAAGTACAGCAGAGCTAGACAAAAGGTGAATCGAACACAGTATCCTGTTTCCAACAGTGCATTGTAGTCACTGTTTATGAAATAGTACATTTAAGCAAGACAAGAACTTGAACCTTCCCTGGTATATCCTCCAGTTTCTGCCAAGCAAGTACTTAAGAACCTTGTGAGCCAAGAGTTTTACTCAGACCACCATGTTTAGTAGGTACCAGTGGGGTCATCCTCCAAAAATTTATCAAACTCCCTTCTGAATCTATTTATATTGGGCTTCTACAGCATCCTCTGACAAAGGACTCCACATTTTAACACGTTGCACAGAAATCCAGGAATCTGCTTGGGTCCTTCAGTAACCAGAACTCAGGTTTGGTTAGTGGAGCTCTGGAGTGTTAAAAGACTTTAGCCCCCGTCCCCTTTCCCTGTCCCTCCCATCAGCAGGCACTAGCGAGGGCAGGGAGCAGACCCTCATGTCACCTGCACACCACCATGCTACCGACAAAAAGCTGCACCTCTTCTTCTTAATACATCTCACTAAAATGGCTTCCTAAAATACATCACGGTGTAACTGAAGCCAAAAAAAAGATGCCCAGGGGAAGCATTAAGAGTTCCAGTGTATTTTTCAGAAAAAGAGTGACCACATCCCTATGTGGTGTAAACAAGTGATGTTTCAGTAACCTCAGCAGCAGAGTGCAGACTGACACCGCGGGTGACCTGGCCTCTTTGTGGCTTCTGATCAGTCACTTCCATCTCTTCCTCAGCAGCACTCCAGAAATCCCCACCTGTCCTCCTCCCATGGAGACAGAGAGACACCTCCATCACCAAAAGTCTTTATAAACTGTGACAGAACACTGTGTCCAAGGACAGCACCTGGCACCAAGGAAAATTAATATTTCAGCTGCTTGAATGTCATCTTAAAAATGAAAAGATTTTCATCAGACAGTGTCCTGGATCCTTGCACTCCTTGCACACTGCAAGAAGTGCTTTGCACGATAATGGCATTTACTATTAAAAAAAAAATGGTTTGGGCAATAAGGGAGCCTCCAAGACCAAAGCACATACTTGGTAAATGCTTAACTGATCACTACTGTTCTGGGCTATATGGAAGACACTTTTATAAAAGAAGATTAACCTATGAGGTTACCGTATATTTGCATTTTTAGAGTAGTGTTTTAGTGAGAAAAAGGTTTTGGGTACAGCGGCTGAGGGACCAAATAGTATTCTAGGGAAGACTGTACTCTCAAATTTGCAATAAACAAAATGAAACATTATTGCTTCCTCTTTTATTTTTTTTCTCTGCTCATCCCAATTGTATTTCTTTTCTCAATCTTTCCTTCTGAATTTGAATGTGTTTTCGCCAACTTTTCTTTCTTATCATTCAAATACTTCAAGACATATTAAATAGTCTGAAATAATGAACAAATATGAAGTAGTGTCCTTGTCTCAACATTAATTAAAGAGAAACCTCTTCATTCTCTGCCAGATTTATCCATATGCCACCTCACTGATTACCACTTTTATGGCAAATGTCCAGTCACTTAGAGATAAGCCAGGATACATAAATAGCTATTTCATGGTTACTCAGATTAAATGGATATGACTGCACATAAATATATGTATATTTCAATGTCAGAAGCTAAATATGGTTCTAAAGGTTTCCCTGTTTCATGATGGATCAAGGAGGCTTAACACTATGGACTATATTTCAATAGCTCTTAATCACGACTGGCAGATTTTTCAGTCCATCTGATTTTAGGAGAGCAAGATGTGTCACTGCACCCGCAAGCTGATTGTTAGAGGTATAAATTTGTCAAGTGTGCTTGAGATTTGTTGAAAACCTGGCCCAAAATATTTTAGAGAAAAGGTAGCTGAGCATGCATAAAATAGTGAATACTATTAAGGTGCATGTGATATACTAAACCAGCCTGTAACCCAGCTTATTTCCAGTTAAATCTGTGGCAGTTTTAGAATGTGCTGGCTCCAAAAGGGCAGAGAAAGGACTTGACAGAAAAGAGCTCAAAGGTGCCAAATTACAAGCAGCATCTACAAGCCTGAAAATACTTACATTAACCCATGGATGCTCAAGAACTTGCAAGGCTGAGAATCGCAGATCTACATCTACTTGAAGCATCATTGTGATAAGTTCCTGAGAAATGGAATACTGGGTCAAATTTAAAGAACACTTTTAAAGAACAAATCAACATTTAATACACCAAAGTGCTCTTCAACTGATTATGTAAGAGTGCTCAAAGAGAGAGTGAACTACCAGCTGCAGAAATATATTAAGATTATTTAAAAAAAAGAGCAACTATGAAGAGCTGAAGTTCAAGCTGAGCTTTTAAATCAATATCTAACAGTACCTTGAAAAGCTAGAAGACAGTTCTGAGTTACAGTTCTGTAGCCACTGTTTAAGAGAAAAGTGCTTAATACATAATGTACAAAACAGATGGTTGCATGAAATTAGGTTAGCTTCCCATTAAGAAAAAACCAATTCCTCTGTAGGAAAAAATCTAGAATTTTACTTTAAGCCCTTGTATAGATGACACAGAAGAGATTAAAAAAACCCCACTTAAACCCATTATTTTTCACCCTCCAATTTCCTCTGCAATTACGTAGTTTTCAACTAGCACATAAATAAACTTATATCTAATTCCACCAGTGAGTGGAGCGCACAGAAAACAGGATGGCAGTATGACAGCAAATAAAGCGGTAGCACCAAGACCAAAGTTAATAATTTTTAGTGACGAGAACAAGTTAAATGAATAGGCTAATGCTTCAAACCAGAAAATTTAGACTGAACTATTTGTATGAAGGAGTTTCCCAGGAGAACGCCATTGGCAAAGGACTTGCAGAGTTCTCATTAGTGAAATAAAGCCTGCTACAACACAATGACGTGGTTTAGAGGGCTCCTTCCAACTCTATGACTGTTTTGCATTCATTAACCTCATTAGTCAACAGGCTAAGATGCTAGTCCTGGTCATCCTCCACATATCTGTAAAAGCAGGATGTAACTCTCCGAAGAATGGAGATTTAAAATGTAGAACACTACTTCCATTACATGCGTCTGCCTCCAAATTTTGTATTTTTTTTGTGATTAATTAAACTCTGTCACACTAAAAGAAACAGGAGGACGGTTTTGCCAGGATTTGCCTTAAAGGCTACAGAAGTAAACTGGCAGAAATGAAGCACTTATCTACAGGATGACCATATGAATATTTTTATGTTTCTGGCTTTTTTTTTTTTTTTACAGATACATGTGTGTATTATCTTTTTCTCTCTATATATTTATACACATAACTATAGTGAATGCCAGATCCCTAGAAAGTCTGTGAGTTAAGCTGTTGCTCCAGTGCACTAATGAGAGTTAAAAAGCTTGATCTGATCTGCAATTATAATGAACTCTGTCAGGATCTGTACCTGACAAGTATTGTATCTGCCTCAGTGCACTTCAAGCTCTACCTCTTGTGTCATGTGCCAAGAGGCTACGTCCCACAAACCGGTGGGCAGAAGTCTGTATTTCATACCACACTGACAACAACAAGGAGCCATAGGCAATGAGAGGCCTGGTTCTTTGATAGAAAGAAACAGACATATCATCTAATAGGATTAATAAGGGGAAAACAGCCTCCCTGTAATATTATTACATAATATTCAAAGGCTCCAGGTTGGTAGCTGGTCCCCATCATAAGTACATATAAAGCACAGTCCCAGGGAGCTTTCAAGCTAAGAAGTGCAGGTCAAGCAAAGTTACTTAATTTTTTTTCTTGATCAGTAAGGGTTGCTGGTGTCTCTGTTGTGTGAGACATCATACAGAGACGGGGTCCATATCAGAACCACCTGGAGTCTAACAAACAGACAGTGATAAAACGACAACATACTCGGTGACCCAGAGGAATTTATAGGTGTAGCAGGAGATATACGAAATGTGTCAAATACAGCACTGTGAAAGAACAACATTCATTAGATGTTGGCACCGGGAATAATATTGGAGAAGAAAGTATCATCAACTGTATAAACCTACCTTTGCAGAGTCAGAAACATTGTCCCAATATGGAGATGGAAAATCCACCTGTCCCATCAAAATCTGATCAAAAAGCACTTCTTGGTCATCTCCACTTCTGTAAAGTAAAAAGCAAACAAAAACAACAACAAAACCCACAAAGAAATTATTTCCAGGGCTGGTTTCAATAGGCTTCTTGAACTTGCTTTTAATTGGCGATCCCTTAGTGTGCTTTTAGAAGCTGTTGATTCCCCCCAAGCATGCAACCATGGGTGTGAATGGTGAGATCATAAACCCAAGTGCATTTGGTACATTCTTTCTGAGGTAACCTGCTTCTCTTTAGGATTGTCAACAACTTTGCAATTGCTTTGAGCCTGAGAAAAGTTCTGACATGTCCTTATTAAGTGGCTTACATTTTAATTACCTTTTACCGACCACAAAATATGTTGTATTTGGTCCATGAAAGAAGATGCTTATTTCACTGTGTATTTTAAACATCAGGCAAAGGCACCCAGAACCCGTAATGGAGGCTCTTGTTTTACAATGCAATGAAGTTTAAACTAAAATAAACAAACATGAGACAGAGATTTTGCAGTAAAATCACAGACATTTATGGGGTTTGTGTAAATTACTATGCAGAGCACGGGGAAAAAACAAACCCTAAGAGCAGAGAACTTTTTCCAGTGGGAATTTCTGTGCGTAATGCAAAAGCAGCACAGGGGACCAATTCATAGAACAAGGATGGTTGAATAAATCAGTCCATACCCACGGAACGGAGGGAAACCACAGAGCAGGATGTAAGTAATCACACCCGCTGCCCAGATGTCCACCTTCAAGCCATATCTAGAAGTGTGAGAGACATGGTTAGAGACATCCGACTCCTATGAACTACAGTACAAGAACAGAGGAAACATTTTCAGAATTATTAATAATTGCTTATATGTTCACATCTGAACTTTCTCTGTGTCCTACCTACCTATCCTAACTCTGCTTTCAAATCTTTTTTACATTTACATCTTAAAACCACATCAGATCAGAATGTAGGAGCGCACAGAAGATGTTGTGCTGTATTCTTGAGTTAGGCAGTGACGCCTACCAACATGAAGCCCACAAAGGTCACACAGGCTGCTCAAGCCAGCAGGTATTTACTCTGTGGAACAAATCAGAAGAAGAGGACAGTGCATGATAATGAAATAAAATTAAGTGAATGGTAGTTATCAGTCTCTGGGGACAGCTGAAGAATTACTTTTATTGTATCTGCAAATGGCTAGTTAGTAACTCAGTGTTAAGCTGAGAAGTTTGAGGCCACAGCTGGCAGAGGAACCTAACACAAGTCCAAAGTTGGCCCTGCTCTGAGCTGGTCTGGACAAGATAGACTCCGGAGGTCCCTTCCAACTAAACTGTTCTATGAGCCATGATTCTGCATTGTACCCAAGCAAAGGCAGCATAAAAATCTTAATTGCAAGAACTCAAATCTGGCGCATTTGCGAGAAAGTACTCCGCTGTGTGCACATCAATGAATCATCACTAGAAGTGATTTACCCAGTTTCAGCGATGATTTCTGGAGCTACATATGTTGGGGTCCCACAAACAGTATATAAAGGTCCATCCACAATTGTTGCTAGGCCAAAGTCTCCTAGCTTCAGGGATTTGCTTCCATCTTGGTGTTCATAAACCTAAATCAGGAGGAAAATTCAAAGGTTTAACACAGTACCATCAAGGCAACTACTACATCATTTACTAACTGCTTGAAATGTTCCTTCTAATTCACAGTCTTTTTTTCTCCTCCTTACCTACAACATACTTCTCTGCATGCTTTGGAAATTCACAGACAATGTGGACAACTTCCTTTGAATGCACTCAGGGTGTTTGAGGAAAGACTTACCTGGCCAACAGAGGACATACTACTTGCTAGAAGCTAAAGGCCAGAAGCAAAGGTCTGACATTCCAGCAGTGACGTTCCTAGGTTAAATTGCCACTGACAGCCAATTCACAGCGTAGGGTTTTTGAGTTTATTCATTTTACTTGCACGGACCTTAATAGCTTGCACAGGAATTTCAACTTCTTAGATAATACAACATCTCCTTGGATGACTTTTAAAGACCAATTAGTGTCTTAATGGTATGTTACCATCGTCATCAACACAAGTAGGGCCGTTAATGAGTATACATTAAAATCCCATCTTAAAATATGGTCTTCATAGCAGCAACATGACCTTTCAGGGGTTTTATGGGTGCAAAGGGAGATTAAGACATTGTCACAAGAGAAAAGCTAGAAGCATCAGTTAAAAATACACAATTTTAAAAGCTGGCTCAATGCAAAAGAACAACCCCAAACTTGTAAGCACTGAAAACATACAAAAAATGCTTAAAATAAAAAGACTAAATTAAAACTAGACTGTGAGTCTTTAAACCAGCTGCTGGCTTGGGTTCTTGCTTCCTATTTTGAAATTGTTTATGATGCAATTTAATGCTGTTTACCATAACAGCACCTTAAAAAATTGAAACAGTCTACAGGAGGTCTTCTTGAAGTATATATGCATCACATTATTATTTTGCAACCCAAATCAAAGCTCATGCAGCCTGGCTCACCAACAGTGATATCCTGACATCAATTAGCAGTACCACTGTGCAAAAATTGAAGATCTCATACTTCATAATCAGAACCAAAATCATCCCTAATACCCATCTTGACCAGCTACTCCTACCTCACAAATCACATTTATCTACAATTGTTTGCAGAGGAAAATCCTAGATTTTTTTTCTGACAAAAATGCAGTGCATTTTACAATGGAACCTTGAACGGTTCTCTTGGTGCCAAAATGAAATCTTGAAGTCTCTCACCACTGTTTGCTACAGTTCTGCTATAGCTCATAATAATGAGTTATATTATACAGCCCCCCCAAGTTTCTCCTTTGTTGATGTTAGTCATGGTTAGAGAAAAAAACCCTCTCTGTCCTGAATCCCTGCTACCAGGTGATACAGCCACAAGATACATTCAGAATACACAAAATTCTTCTCCTTCTCTAATGTTATTTTTAATAATACAACTGGATCTTTAAAAGGACCAGCAATTTGATATGGATTCACATTTCTCTGCTACTAAGCCAGAAAAAAAAAAAGATAGGCTTATAGAAATGCACTGGAAAAAAAGCAATTATGGTTTTATTAAAAACACAGATTGTTAAATACATCTGGTTCCTGAAATTAAAGAAAGTGCTCTCTGAAATGGCAGTAATAAATCTAATTTCAACAACAGTTTTAATTAAAGACTAGAAACTAGAGTTTTAAATATTCACTTGCTGAAAAATGTAAAGTATGCACTTAGACATCAAGAGCTGAATCCGTTCTAATTAGCATCTCATATTCTGTTTCATGTGGTTATCTTTTACAAAGCCCTCTCTGAGCTCTGTTAACCTAGTGAACGTTCATAAATTCCCTCCTTCAAGAGACCACACCTTGTATGACTCATATATCATGGAAATTAATTATGGAAAAGGCTTTTTCGGCAATATTTACCAATGCAGAAGGTTTGGCACCGTGCATTTTCTAGGATTTTGCCCCATCTGTTTCCAGGAATTACTTTCCTTGGAAAACTACTTCAGTTGACTTGTAAAACTGAAGAAAGTAACTTTTCCCCACCCTGTTATAACTCCATATAAAAAGGAGCCCAATGTGAAGCTGTGGTATGTTACTTGCCAGTCAAGGAATGTGGAAGATAATTTAATGCTCATGTTATTTAGAACAAACGCTATATATGTTCCACTGCATTTAAATACTGAAGGGCAATTAAAGAAATGGGGATTAGTGCAAATTACCTACAATGTAGTGCTTTCACTGTTTTAACTAAGCAATAAAACTGTGTAATTGTACAACACTAATTGAATGCAGCCACACATAATTGTGTGCCACCATATGCATCCTATTACTATAAAGACTGTCAGTATTTTCTAAGCGGCTCTTGCGATCAGTGCAGATGGCAACAGTCAGAGAAGTTGTTCTCTAGGGTTTATTATATGGCTATAAAGACGTCCCATGACTTGACAAAATAAATGTGCTAAATAGCAGCAATTATGAAAAATGTTCCAATTAAAACATAGAAGACACACTCTGGAGAAGAAAAAAAATGCTAAAAAATCACAGGTATCCAGCATAGCCTAAACTCTCAGACAACTGGAAAGCCTTGAGGATCATAAGGACTATTTAAGCACTTACAGAAATAACTGGTGTTAGACATAGGACGTTGAGACAGGTTCACACACACCAAGATTTATTAGCAGGGTCTGTAGCTGATGGCACACATCAGCTCTAAGCGTGAAAGTTACTTTTGGGAAAAGGAAAAACTAAAGCAGATAAAGAGGGAGGTGAAAGGGAAAGCTCTCCCAGGAGCTGGGAAGAGATGCAATAAGGAGGCTCCCGATGGGCATCCTCTGGGTACTCACTCCAGAGCAGCATGCTCCCTTTCACCCTCCCATATTTTTCCTGTAGTAACCAGTAGGACAAGGGAAGTCATCGTGCCCCTGTACTCGGTGCCGGTGAGGCCGCACCTCGAATACTGTGTTCAGTTTTGGGCCCCTCACTACAAGAAGGATGTTGCATTGCTGGAGCATGTCCAGAGGAGAGCAACCAAGCTGGTGAGGGGTCTGGAGCACAAGTCATACGAGGAACGGCTGAGGGAACTGGGGTTGTTTAGTCTGGAGAAGAGGAGGCTGAGGGGAGACCTGATCGCCCTCTACAGCTACCTGAAAGGAGGCTGTAGTGAGGAGGGGGTCGGCCTCTTCTC